CTTTAGAAACGTAGGAGCTCGTAGCGCCCCCTGGATACAGACTGCCCTCCATGACGAATGCACGCATGCTTTGTAGCGACAAGACCTATTTTTGTTGGTGTAATGTAGCGCGAAACAGACTACGCGTGCAGTGACGTACACGGACACAGGAACAGCCTGGGTTGCTTAGCGACGTGCATGACAACAATAGAAAACACAATGACGTATATGCTGGGAATACGCCTGGGGGGTAATTGAATTAACTTCTATAATCTTGTTCCTACTAAGCAGAACTGCGCATGCCGGAAGAATAATATTTAGCAACTGGAATAGATTGCGGTGAAGCAGCAATTAGCATAGTATCACTTTATTGCCGCTGGAAAACCCCTAAGAGCTATTAGGGTGATCAAAAATGTGGGATGTGATGGGAGTGATACTTAGCATATAAGGGGACGTGGGAAATTCATACAGAATTTTAATCGGGAAAACTGAAGGGAAGAGATCACGTGTGAGAGTAGATTAAAGGGGCCTGTTTGTACACGTAGATCTCAAAGAAGGGGGTTTTGAGGGCGTACAGAAGTTTAAACTGGTTCAGAATTGGGTCCGTTAGCGGATTATTGTGAACATGAAAATAATGTGAGATTTGAGATTTTGACGGCGGTCAGTATTAAGACTGAGACTGCGGTCTTATAGATTGTTACTTCCCCATAAGTCTTCACAGCGTAGTGCTTAATTAGTTAAGGGACAGGGACAATTTTACCCCTTTTCATAAAAATATGTTCCATTATTTTGGAAGATAGTTTCGGAGGAATTAGAATGAAGTGGCAGTGTTATGTTTCTGAATTATAATGCCATCATTTATCAGAAACTGAGGAAAATATAAAAGAGTCAGTTACGAGAGAAAGTCATAAATTTGATTCTGAACCTGAAACTACCCCAACATAGAATGTATGAGGAAATCAAGGGGCTCAATCTCCTCTAATGTAACAAGACAAAAATATACGGTAAATCACATTCTCGTTGAAAGGCAAAAATACAAAAAAAAAAAGAAGGAAGACAGAGAGACGAGAACTAAACTTTTTTATTTACTTATTTATTTATTTGTGGTTTATTTAACAACGCTCTTAGTGTCTGACTATATACTATAGAATGATGTGATGATTTAATGAATAATTAATTGGAAAAGTTATGGAAGGAAGAGGTCGTGGCTTAATTTTAGGTACTTTCCCGGAATTTTGAGAGGAAGAAATAAAGAAAGGCAGAAGCAACTAAAGGTAGAAAGGAAGAAATAGAGAAATTGTTCGAAATAAAAATAGTAACAAGGAAGGAGGTGTAGAGAGAAAGAAGCGCAGACTATGTAGCAAGGTTAAGTCACACTGTTGATTTTTCAGTATAAGCAAGCTTATTTACAGCCAGAAAACAGGCAAACAACGAAAAGATATCTGTTGTGACGTGCGAAGGGCGTGTCTTGCTGCTGTCGTGGTAATCAGATGATAGAAACATTCTTCATATATTAACTAATTAGGTTTTGTTGGCTCTGAATTTCCGAATTACACGGTATTACAACCCTGAAACCACATACTCTTAATAATTACCTTTTGTATGTGATGAGCTCTTTCAAATCTGCTAAAAAAAGTAAAGGTATCCCTGTAACAGGCCGTGGAGGCCCATAGGGTTGTGAGATATTGAGGGTCCAACATTTTCTAGACAATCGGCTCATAGATGGCGGCAAAGTTGTCAGCCCTACGCGCCGGCCGCCCTTTACCCCCAAGAATATTCCAAGAATATTCCTGGTACTCATTTCTGTTAAAGGCTGAATCGACCTCAGGGCCATAGTGCGGTTGGAAGGATTAGGTCAATTGCAAAAGAAATCCAATGAACTAATCGAGACTTGAACCCGCGACCTTCCGGCTTGTAGCATAGTGCCTCAGCCAACTAAGCTACCGCGTGAGAGTAACAGTAAAGAAACTTAGATTTTTGTAGAAATATAATGTTACCTGCTTCATGCTGGTGTCTTGCTTAGCTTATTCTTCGACACTAATGAAGAAGGCGAAATATTTCTCCGCAATGCTGGCGTAGTATCCCACAACATAGAACTCTGCATGAATTTCTATATATTATTTAGAATTGTGTTAATCTTTAAAGGGTTAATGCATCTTCTTTGTCAAAGTCTTTCTTTTTGTTCTATCTGAAAAAAAAGTATCACAAATATTAATGCCCTGTCCTTGCAACAGGCTTGCCTCGTAATGAGAATCCGAGATATTCCGTTTTATTCAACTTCTTCGTGCCTTCTGGCATCAAATTCTACACGAGTAAGGTGTTCGTTAATAGTATTTTACTCGTAATTTTAAGGTATCAAATTGAATCTTAAAGTTATCAGAATTTGACGGATAGGAAAAATTAATTTGCTGCTGTGAAGTAAGCACATATTTTAATTGATAGGTCTAGGAGCATAATAATATTTCTAAACTTACCTTCATTATGTTTTTCTTCTTACGAGCAGAATCACAGGCTTCACTATCGCAACAGCATCACATATATTACGTCACACCTAAGAGCTTCCTCGATTTCCTGGCATTAATACTCAAGTGAAATACAGGACCATCCGATTTTAGGAGTTTATACAGTATTTGATGTCTTTACCACATATAGTCTTACAATACCTACACACTTTAATAGGTTAAGTTTGAGGTCCCATTAGTGTGTGTACGCATGCGTGAATTTACGTGTATGTATCATAGTATTGTATACGATTGTGTAAACAAGAATCATATGCATATTTGTGTGGAGTGAACGGTTATCCGCGGAACATGGCTGTATACTGTTGGGTTCTTCAGTAACGGAACAAATCTGGGCGTTTAAAGATGTATTTTTGAACGCCTGGCCATCTTTCTATCATCTCTCTCACCCCTTTAGTTGAATGGACTGACAGCTTCTAACAGATTGATGTGAGTTGCTTACTACAAAATCGCGTGGGTTGTCGCTTTGTATCTACTATACTGTGTAGTATGAGCAGCGTAAAACATCATCCTACAATCATATTTCGGTTGAAAGTGCGTTGGCCGGCAGCGATGCATAAAAATCAGGCGCAAGACAATGCTTTTTTCATGTTGAGTTCACACGCCTCCTAAATATAGGCATCTCCAACAGCCGACATCATAGACCATCTTCTCCGCTAGCGTCGTCGGCATTAGGAAGGCAGTGGCAGGTGGAAACGTAGCTTTTCATGCACTTTGACGGACTGGTTCGGAACTGAACAAATTTGAAAGCCTGAGAGATTGAAAATTTATTATTAGAATTTTGTGGGCGGCCACAAATTATAACATCATTCGGTGTTTTTTTTTCGAATGTAAATATATGTGAAGAAAGCAGTCTTTTGGGATTTGGCACCGTGTATATGTGGTGTTAACCGACGTTCCGGAGAAACATATCGCCTCCATCTTCAGGAAGAAGGAAAAATATAAGAAATCCGCAAACGAAGACACCGTGAGAACCGGTAAAAGCAGACTGGTGTTGGAAATATTTTTCCTTCTACCCTGAAGATGGAGGCGATATGTTTCTCTGGAACCTCGGTTAACACCACATATACACGGTGCCAAATCCCAGAAGACTACTTTCTTCTTAGTCACCGCCGCGAAAGCCTCAAATCTTACGTAAATATATCTAATGGACAACGAGGAACATTAAATAAATTTAATTAAATATTTGCTAAAATGAGCAGCCAATACGAGTATAGGATTACGACAAGTAACAGTAAGGGATCTGAATAAAAAATAAGCGGCATAAGAAAGAGGTAATTAAGAAAACACTGCCTGTGCCTGTTCAGAGCCGTCCGTGCTAACTCCATTTGTTTATGAAGAATTTCCATACGTTTTCTGGAGCCTCATTGTTCATTACTGTAACCACAAAAGCCATCCACTGGGCCCCATCCTGATAGTCCTACATTATTTCTTTACAGTCGGCTCTAATACTGTCCTGCCATCTACGCCTTGTTCTCCCAACTGTTCTCTTTCATTCTGTTTCTGCAAGTTTATATTTGCATGCTTTATCAGGCAAACTGCCAGTAAGTGCTCCACCGATTGCAGCCTTCATCATCTGATAACGTGTTTAATTTGTGGAAGTGTACAGACTATGAAGCCGCCTCTGTGGTCTAGTTGGTCAGAGTTCCTGGCTACAGATCCAAAGGTCCCGGGTTGGATTCCCGGCGTTATCAGATTTTCTGAGAAGTAGCGGGTTTGGAACAGGACCCACTCAGCCTCTGAGGATAACTGAGGAACTACTTGAATGGATAGGTAGCCGCTCCGGTCTAGAAAACCGAGATTAACGGCCGTGGGAATCTCTTGCGCTGACCACGTCGCACCCTCTATTCGCAAAAATTGGCACTAACTTCGCCGACAAGCGGCGGGCGCTCCGTCGATATAGTTCGCTTGCGGACTAAAAGCCACGGAGTAAATATATGAAAGTCTTAATTATCAGTTTTAGGAATCACCTCGTTACTTTCTCTTACATCCAAAGGCACCAATTTCTGTAAAATACGTAGAATACATGAAACCGAACAGAGTCAGAAGGCAATGTTTCTGACTTGTGTCTGGTTCAAATTATGACAGGATACCGACTATCCTGACTTATATGCTTCATGGTTTTCCTCATTCCCTCCAGGCGAATGTCGTTATAGCACCTTGAAATAGAACACAACAGATTCTTCCACAAACTCTTCAATTAATAATTTATGAATTATAGTGCCGTTCAGCTGTACGCATTTTGAGCAGTGATAGTGTCATTAAATAAACCATGGAATGTAAATCAAGTAGAATATGTATATAGGCAGTGAATATCAGACTCAGTGCAGAAAACATGCCAGCATTAAGGATCGTTATTCTTCTGTTTGCCAACAGGACATGGAGGTAAATCTATTTGAGAGGATGTTCTTTCTCTTTTCACTAATGCCATTTACATTTTGATATAAAGTGCAGATTGTTAATGGTAAAAAGAGTGGCTGATGGTGAAAACTGCTTTTTCAGAATGTTGGTGCTCCCGCTGGGAAATGATGAAAGCCCACAAATTGCAACGGAGGAAAGAGCCGTGGGGTATGTACACGTTGATTACAATCAGTTCTCTGAAACTGCAGAAAGGGAATATCTCCGCGGGGTTTACCATTTCAGGTTCTTTGTTTAAACTACAGCAGTAAGATGAGACTGATAATACATCCAACAATACCACTCACAGGGCACGATGGTATAGTAATGACGTCATGTACTTATATTCGTTAGGTACTGTGTCCGGGGCACCGGATATCTTAACTGAGATTTCTTTTTTTGTGGATTTCCTCAGGCCTTCTACGCAAATATCTGGACTTTAAGGCAAAAAAAAAAGTAAAGTTTTCCTTGTGCTGAATGCTTAATTAAAGCTTTAAGCCATTGAGGCGTATGGGGGAGTGGATGGATAGATCCACATTTTCTTGACCTCGGTACCAGTTGGAGGTGAGTGGTCAGCTTCACGACCCGGCCTCTTTACCCCCGGGGGAAAGAGCCTTCGGTACCCATTTCACAGGAGGTTGGGTGAGCCCCAGAGCTGGTCTGAACGAAGTTGAGAAGGGAAAATTTTTGATCCTACCAGGCCTTGAACTCCGACTCCTTGGTCGTCCAGCCTGTAGGCAGTCGCCATACTGGCTGTTACTAAATGAAAAATAATTTTGAAGATTATGTTCTGGAATGTGACGCCGTGTAGTTTGGTAGGCAAGTTATTAGTGTGTCGGTGCCACCTTCTTTCCGAAACGTTTGTTATTATCTACAAAATTGTACGTTGTCGTATCCCAGAAGACAGCAACGATGAGATCTTACATAAACAAATACTGTTTTCCAGACTTATAGCTCATAGGCCAGAAAATATTTTAGGAAATTTACATTGTTTATATAGGCCTACACATATATAACACGTATATTAATTTTTACGGCGCTTTTTTCACAGAAACCTGAGGTCGTTAAAGACCCAGGACAAAGCCGCGTCTGTTTCACACAGCTCGCTCGAAACTGTCGTTAAATTGCTGCTATAAAAATCAGCGAAGATAAACACCAATGTAAGTTGTCTATCTTGCAGATACATAAACTTCGCTTTCTGGCACAAGAATGCTTTGAACAATAAATGAAGTTCAGATTGTGATCTGTTTGGCCTTCGAACGTTGTGTCCTTCAAGGTTGCTCGTATAATAAGAAAGTGCTCTGTTCTCGACACGCGGAAAGAGAAAACAAGGGGCAAGGCCCCTAATAAAATGCCCCGTGTCTGAGAGGGAAGTGCTGAGGTGTTTTTCCTCCAGACGTGAGCTGAGGTCAAGGTCATATAAAGCAACCAGTATGTTTCAGATGAGAAAGATACCAGTATATGTGAAGCTTAATGGTGTGATTCAGGATACTGCAATCGTTCATTCTTGTTCCAGTCATTTTCAGTTCATTGTTACTTCATTTCACGAGGTCCGAAATCCACTTAGAATATATATGGGAGCCGATATAGCGACGGGCTGGAAGGCAGCTGTTCGATACCCGGGAGAGGCTAGAAACTTTTCTCTACTCCGTAGCGACCAGAGCGGCTCTGGGGCTCACACAGCCTTCTATCCAATGGGTGACTGGGAATTTTTCCCAGGGTGTAAGGGGCCGGGGCGTGTAGCTAACCATGCACGTTCATCTAATGCCGAGGTCAAGAATGCTGGAAATATGCCTCCGCTCCCCAATGCGTCTTCATGACATAATGCTTAATTAATTAAGCACAAGGACATCTTCATCATTTACCCTTTACATTTACGTTTTTAGTGTAAGGAAGGAACTCGTAATTCTATTTCAAGCCAAGCGTTTCTGATGAATAGTTAGTAGACATCAAGGGCCGCGCCATAGCTCAAGTGGTTAGTCGCTGGCTTCCCACCGCGGCGGCCCGGGTTCGATCCCGGGCCTGGTCAAGTGGGATTTTTGGTGGACAAAGTGGCGCTGGGGCAGGTTTTCTCCGAGTACTTCGGTTTCCCCTGCAAATCTTCATTCCACCAATTGCTCCACAATCACTCTCACCTATCATCTGGGGCTGGTACAATAGGCCAGAAGTGGCCGCAGTACAAGGGACTTAGTCCCACCCCACTAGCATAAAAATATTAGTAGACATCAATATTGTGGCATAAAGTTACTGAGTGTTAAATCGAAATAGTGAGAACTTCCGACGTTTCGGAGACACTTATTTCCTGCTTCAGGTTTGAAACGAGAGTAGACATTTAGGGGGATAGAGGCAAGACAAATTTCCAGCTTTGTGGATTGCAGTTTCCAAGTAGGCCCACTTGAAATTTGCTATGTTTTAAAATATCCCGTTTTGGTATTTTTATTATCATAATTGTTTTATTTCAAAATTCACTATTGTTTATGAATTATATAGCGACACAAAAACTGATTTTTCGCTTGGATGTGAACCCGTCCTTCAAATTAATGTCCGACCAATAATTTTCCCGTTGTCACATAACACCAAGGTCCATTATAGAAATAAGTCTTCCGACCGAAAACAGACCTTTACCAATGTGAGCGTAATGAAAAATCTTACGTTCTCTTGACAATTAGCTCATTCACCCGATCGTAGCCTACGTGATCACCTGACATCTATCATCTCTGACTCACACACCTGGTTGAAGAGTATGTGGAACTTGGGCTGAGCTGTGAGTTGATGGCGCGAATGTGATAGAGATTGTTTCTTGCTCATATCAATTCTCGAACTTCTGCCATTCGGTCGTCCAGCTCATAGCCAATCGCCATGCCGATTGCGCTATCTTGGCTCTACTTAGATGGTACTGATATTTAGCATTGTGCTGTGAAGCATTAAACTTAATTTGTTTTGAGATATTTTAAATTTTCAAACATGTATGTGGGAGTGTATTTGTGAATATTCAGACTGATATGAAAGGGTACAGATTGATTGTTAGTACAATCCAGGCATATATAAGGAGGGAGTTAGAAGTCATGCGACAACGCTCACCCTGGATGACCTGGGCAGCTGGCCTCCACTCTTTGAGAGCATAATGCGAGGCCTCCCATACAAGAAGCAAGAGCTCTAACCACGTGGTCATGGCTCTCAGGCGTGCAGGCCCAGCGGAACTCCTGAGTAAGGTGGAGACATCTGATGCGAGACGAGACAACTATCTAACTCTAAGCCTTCGGCTTTTTGATTCCAGTGTCGGCTGCTAGTAGGCGCTCCAATGTCTGACGGTTAGAGACGGGTTTCACGATAATTTCAGTATCAAGATTATATAGCTTCAATGGGTAGGATGATTGATGGACCTTGCACCCGCCACGGCCCAGTTGAGGTTCTATCTCTGTATTTTCCTGGAGTGACTGAGGATAACTACGAAAAATCTCAGTCAGGACAGCCAGTGTCCAGGCCCAGATTTGAAATAACCGCGTTCTGATTATGAATTTAGAATGTTACCGCACTCTAATAACCAGTTCGGCGTAAATAAACGGAGGGTCGAACAATCAGACAATTGAGTGATACATTCAGCGTCTGACGAAATCAGTGTAGGCCAGATAGTGTGATACTAAAATAACATGTAAACATTTGCTGGTTACGCGCCTACCTCATTATTTCGACCGTAGTCAAGTTGCATTGTAGAAGCGATACCCATTGTCGTTCTAGTTCAGTACACTCTTACTGGAGTGCTGTAGTCTGTAATTAGAATGCTTGCAGATTTCATATATTCCAGAAATACGAGTAATTGCATCAGTACGCACTGAGTCAGAAAAATGCGAATTCCTTACGTTGAAACGATTGTCTGAAGTAAATTCGGTATCCAGAAAGTTAAGAATATTTTTGTTCCCTAATTCTGCCCTCAGTGGACACAGAAACGGAAGTAGCCAGGAGATAGCGCGGCGTTTTACACGGACGCAGACCAGAAGATGAGAATCAATTGCAGTTTCGAATTGTTCTCAAATGTAAAACATCTCACTGGAAATTGTTAGTGTCAAAACGGTTACTAATTTCGAAGAGAGTGAGAGCCTAACTTTGTGCACCTGATATACTCGTATAATTGATGTATGTGTGTGTATGTATGTATGTATGTATGTATGTATGTATGTATGTATGTATGTATGTGTGTGTATGTATGTATGTGTGTATGCATGTATGTATGTATGTATGTGTGTATGTATGTATGTATGTATGTGTGTGTATGTATGTATGTATGTGTGTATGTATGAATGTATGTATGTGTGTATGTACGTATGTGTATGTATGTATGTATGATGTATGTATGTATGTATATGTGTGTGTGTGTATGTATGTATGTATTATTTATTTTAACTGCAGATGTGTTTTTACCCGGTGGCAGTGATACTGCAATAAGACACTCAAATAACACACCACGCTCAAACAAAACACAAAACACAAGATTACACAAACAAAAAGGGACACACTACACATAATAAAATGCAACGCAAATACAATTACAACTACAATTATATAAATTAATATTAATAAAAAGTAAGCATGCTATACACTAAACAGTAGGAGTAATGAAATGCGTAATGTCACGTGTTCGGGGTTCCGTGACTAATAACTGTGGATACTGGATTGGATGATTATGTTTATTTGACGCCAGTATTACAATTACGCTCAATTTTAAGAGTTCACGAACTTTCTGTTTTCCCTCGTAGTTCACTTCTGAACTCTGAACTGACAGCCTCTCAACTGCTCCCCCTTTATTCCTGTTAGGCTGCTGGGATAGGAATCAAATCCTTGAAGAGTTCCATTTGTCATATCCGTGGTAACAGTCTGTTTAGAATGTCGTTACCATGGGTGTCTCCAATAGCTCCATCAAAACCCAGAGTAACCGTGTATTTCACGTTACCACGGGAATGCGCCCCGCAAATAAAATATATATTTGTGGGAGTCTGTGCGCTCCAGATGAGTGTCTCAAGGTAAGAGCAGCTCCGACTGACTGGCTAACGAGTCGGAGGTCCTCATTCTTATACGCTGTCGCTTGCGAAGCCCGACCCAATGGGTGCTGGCGCTACTGTGGTACGCGCTGACTGACGAGCCTTGTGGTAGGCTCCCACACTTTTTATGTGTAT